TTCTTTCAGTGTAAGAGGCTGTTCTCTAAAACTATCAGCCGCAATTATTAGAGGGAGCTCCTTAGGTGTAAATAAGATAAAATAAGCCAGGCTCATTGTTAGGCATTGGAAATGCAAATACATAAGCCAGGAACACCCCCTACCATAATAGAACTTGCATTCAATAAGTAAATAAAGACATTATATTAAACACACAATGATTTGATGGAGAGGACTCTAATAACTGGGAGAGAGTCAAGGAAGGCTGGCCTCTTGAAGGAGGCTATAACTGAGCTAAACCTTGATGGGAGATAGGAGTAGGAGAGGCAGAGGAGAGGAGGGAGAGCATTCCAGGAACTAGGGGGCAGCCTGTACAAAGACATGGAGGCAGGAGACAGAATGCTGTGTATGGGGAAGGACAAGTAGACAGGCTTGTCTAGAGTGTCAGCTGCACAAAGGAGAACTAATATTCATAAATCTAGAATGATAGGCTGAAGCGACTTTGTGAAGGGCTTTAATTGCCAAAGGCACTTGTATTTTATTCTAAAGGTAAAAGAGAGTCACTGAAACTTTTTGAGCAAGACAATGATATGGTCAGGCCTGCCTTTCATAAATGTCAGTTTTACAGATGTGTGGAGGAGAGTAGATGTATCACCTATGTTACCTTAAGCAAACAACTTCACCTTTCTAGGATTCAGGGTCCTCACCTATTAAATTAGCCAGATGGACTCAGCAATCTCAAGAGTCCCCTTCTGGTTTTAAATCTCTAAACTCCATTGTTAGTAATAAATGCTATGATCTTAGAACTCAAAATAATTAGGTCTCTACAGGTGATCTAATGAGATAAAAAGGATAAACTGACCGAAAACCTTAAGCTATGAGCAGAGCTAATGATAGCTAAAATCAACAGGAATGAACAAAAAGAAAACACAGTTCATGAGTTCAGTAACTTATTTATCATGCCAATGGAGAGCACTAAACCTAGAATAGGAAAGGGGTCCCTAGGTGAGATCCATAACCACTTAGTAGAATATTGTCTAACAATCTAAACAAGAAAACCAAGAGGATAAAAAATTCCAGTTGTCCAGACTACAACATATAGTTAGTTATACAACACAATGAATTGGTCCATCCGTGCATATATATATTACATAGATATTGCAGATGAGCAATAAATTAGATAAGAGAAAAAGTGGGCAGGACTGCATTTAGTAAATTGTATACTTTTTTAAATGACATCAAGATTCTCTCTAATACAAATTTCCATCTTTTTATCATCAACATTCTTCAAGGATTGTTATTCATGTCTACCTATAATGGAACATTACAACCTTCAAAGCCTCAAAATTTAAGGTCACCTAAAAGGCAATGGAGAGAAATATTGCGGGAATAAGTATGTTACAACATATTATCAATAATACTTTACTTCTCAGTGGCATGAAACATACTTCCCTTCTCACTCACCTATTCAAATTCTATCCAATTAAGATCAAAATTTACCTCATTTCTAAATGAAGTAATAATGATCCCATTAGTTGTTAAGGCTCTGTCCCTTATCAAATTGCTTTGTATTTACTATGTATGTATATGTTGAATCATCAAATAAAATGAAAGTTCTTCAAAGACAGTTTAAGTTTTCCCCCGGTGCCAAGCAGAGGGTCTTGCACACTACAGGCACTTAATGTTTGCTGAACTGGATTAAGATCCTGATCTCCTCTATGAATCTTTCTCTAATTATTCCAGCTGTCAACAATCTCCCTTTCCTCCAACTCCTGCTTATAAATCTACTGGACACAATTAGCACCCAGTTATATAGTTTTGTATTGTTCCCCATTTCATGTATTAGAAACAAAGAAGAGGCTTGGATAGATATGCCAATTGATAATGTATGTATCATTCATGATGGCCTGAATAAATTTGCCCCTTCATAAGAGAAGCATATGATAAAGATGCCTTCTTTCCCAAATAAGACAACATATGCTAAGTTAGTACATACTTCTATTTAATAAGCTGGCAAGCATCCAGAATAGGGTGACAAGGTTGGTGAATGACCTTTCATTCATATCATTTAACGACTATTTAGCAACAGTTAGAGATGTTTAGCCTAGAGAAGAAGAGGGTATGAGAGCTGTCTTTAATTATCTGAAGGATTATCATGTACAAGGGGGATTAGACTTGCTCAGTTTGACCCTTTTGGGCACAACTAGGCATAACATGTTGCCAAAAAATCAGATTCAGGATTAAGAGGAAAAAAAAAACCTCCTAATAATTAGGCAAATGGCGTGGGCTGCCTCAGGTGGTAGTAGTGGACTCACTTTCACTGGAGATCTTTAAGCAAAAGCTAGATGACCACTTGTGGGCATGCTGGTATTTCTTTTTCAGATATGGAATAGGACATATGATCCCAGAGATCCCTTCCAACTCTGAAATTCTTTGATCCACTGAAGTTTAGAAATCACAGTACTAGGAGCAGAGTGCTCTAAAAATATTTGCTGAAGTCACTGTTTCAGAGACTAGGGGAAGATAGTTGCAATGATACCCTGCTAGTGGAGCTATGAATGGGTCCAACTACTGTGGAAATAAACATTGACGTGTGGGAGAAAAAAGTTACTAAACTCTTCATACTCATTGACCCAAGGAGATCAGTGACAAGAAGATAGGGTTTGGGTGACTAGATAGACAGAGATATAATAAATATTCATATAAACACTCTCCATGGAAGCAAAAAAGTAGAAACAAAAGGTTGCCCATAAATTGAGGAATGCTCAAACAAACTGTGGTGTATGAACGTGATAGAATATTATTATACCATAAGAAATGACAAAGATGAGGAATTCAGTGAAACACAGGACCACTGGAGCACAGAAGGCTGGAATGTCATCAAGCCCAACACCCTCATTTTAGAGTTGAGGAAAAGCTGAGAGATAAATGACTTGTCCAAGGCCAAACAACTAATAAGTACGTGAGGCAAGAATTAAACTCAAGTCTTCCCGACTCCAATCTGAGCATTCTGTTCCCTATATCACCTAGCTGCTCCATTGCAGAAAGACTTGTATGAAATGATTCAGAGAAGAAAGTAGAAGCAACAACACTAAAAAGGAGTTGAACTCATATGAGCTATAAGAACAATCACAGTCCAAGAGGATTGATAATTAAATACTTTCCTCTTCTCAGATTAGTATAGATTATAAGTATAGAATGCAATATATATACATATATATACACACACATATATACACATATATATACATATATATACACACACACATATATACATATACTGTCATTGTTATTGTCATACACAGACATTTTGACAGCTGATTTTGCTTAAATGCTTTCTATTACAAAAAAGGGTTCAAAGTGGGAGTGGGAATCTGTTGTATCCTGTGAAACCTGGACAGTATACCAGCACCATGCCAGGAAATTAAATTGCTTCCATTTGAATTGTGTTAGGAAGATTCTGAAGGTCACCTGGTAGGATAAGAGGCCAGACACTGAGGTCTTTTCTCAAACTAAATGCCAAGCACTCAAACTCTGCTCCAGAGAGCACAACTCTGATGGGCTGGCCACATTATCCAAATGCAAAAGGTACTCTTGTCAAAAAGACTGTTTTATGGAGAACTCACATAGGGCAAGCGTTCACATGGTGGTCAGAAGAAGCGATACAAGGACACTCTCAAGGTCTCTTTTAAGAACTTTGTAATTGATTGTGTAACAAGGGAAACCCGGGCACAGGACTGCTCAGCATGACATGCCCACATCAGAGAAGGTATTGTGCTCTATAAGCAAAGCAGAATTGAAGTAGCTCAAAAGAAATGCAAGATACACAAATCTAGAGAATCCACCCCAAGTGTTCACATGGACTATTTGTGCCCAATCTGGTAGAACCTTCCGACCTTATATTGGTCTTATCAGCCACAGTTGGACACACTGTAACTTGACTCTAACATAGTGATATCATTTTGGTCCTCTTCAAGAATGAAGGACAACAACCAACCAGTTTTGACATATCATTTAATATCTTAGGACCTCAGTTTCCTCACTTGCAATATGAGAAAGTTAGACTAGATGACCTATAATCTCCTTTCCAGTTTTAAAATGCTTTGTTGCTAATTATAAAAAGTTTCGAATTTTCAAGTTCATCATTATAGTCAAAATCATTTAATTATCCATTTTGCATGTGGCTTTATGCTAATGTAGAATAAGCAATAGTCTCTGCCATATTAAAAAAGAGATAAGATTGATGTCAATATCTAAGAAAGTGAAAAAATAAAACAAACAGAAAAACAGGAAAACTATATTCCAGTAAGGAAGTGATGATTCAATGAATCATAAATAATGGCAGTTAGAGGCTACATGCTGAAATAGGGTGGGGTGTCAAGGGAAATTGCTCCTTCTTTTCCAAATAGTTTTAGATTTGATGAACAAAGTGAACTTTTACCAGCTGAAGCAAGAGAGTCAAGAAGTACAGAAGGAAAATTATATTGAGCCTAGAGGGCCAAGTGACTGGTCCAAGGTCACATGACTAGTTATGCCTGGAACCAAAATCCAGGTTTTCTCCCTGTTATTTGTCACCTAATGACTGGTTTGCCCACAAGGGCACCAATAGTTCACTTACATGTAAATATGCTGGCAATATTATTCAGCTCATTGGTTGACCTCAGTGCTGCTTTTCACACTATTTTTAGACACGCAAACAGAAGGAAAGAATGAAAAGTGCCAAGTGAAATGACACAAGAAAATTGCACTGTAGCCAGATCAGACAAAGAAAAATGACAGAAAAAAGGTGGGCAGAGATGGCTCTGTGATTTCTTCCTCACTCTCACCTGAGCAAATTATATAAAAGGAACCAAGTTAGAATGCATTAGCTGTCAAATCAACAAAACTCCATTAGACAGAAAGCCTTCCCACAATGTGGCCTCTCTATAACCACAGACTTGACATGGTCCATGACCAGGGAACAAGAAGCAGAGATGAGTAGGAACAAAATTTATAAGACATAATGGAGAAGATATACTTACTCTTCCAGGAAGTGTTGTTGGGGTCCTATAATAGAACCTGGCCGGCAGATTCTTATCCACGCGATGATTTCAGCATGTGTGAACCTGTAGTGCTTCATTACATAACAGGCTATCAATGTTCCTGTTCTTCCAAGACCAGCTATAAAAAAAAAGAGAGAAAGAGGACATGAGATACAGCGTGTGCACAGGCAAATACAACACAGTAAAACTGAGTACAGTTAATAGCGTCAACAATTTTTAGATTTTGGTAAGCTGACATCATTAGTCTCATATTTAATGTGTGATTTTTAAATCAGATACTTGCATTATAATTATACATCCTTTGATGTTTTGAAGTTAAAGAAATTTTAATGATAATATCCAAAAAAGACACAATTATAACATAGTATAAAACTGGATTTGAAAAGCATTTTTTTCCTTAGGCAATTGGGGTTAAGTGACTTGCCCAGGGTCACACTCACTTGCTAGTAAGTGTCAAGTGTTTGATCTGAGGCTAGATTCAAACTCAAGTCCTCCTGACTTCAGGGCTGGTGTTCTATCTGCTGTGCCACCTAGCTGCCCCCTGAAAAGCATTTTTAAAAGACCATCTAGTCTTTTTTTTCTTGAAATTTTCAAAGAAGGACTGTCCACTAGGAAAACTATTAAAATATGGATCCCAGAATTAGTCCTCATAAGAAATTATTTTTTTAACATTACCTAGGTTGAGATGAATCTATTGATAACCACTCTACATGACCAACTAGCCAGTCCTACACGCAAGTAAGTTATATCACCAAGATTTTATTTTATAAACTTACTGATCACTAATCTCAGAAGGGTCAAAATCAAAAGCCCTTCTCTAATCAAAGCAGATTACCTCTATCATCACTGTTTCTTAACACTACTAGACAGATTACTCTGGCTGACCCCCAAGCCTAGACACTCTTCCTCCACTCTGCCTACTTGTCTCCCTGGCTTCCTTTAAGTCCCAATTAAAATATCACCTTTTACTGGAAGCCTTCCCCAACCCCTCTTAGTTTCCAATGCCTTCTCTCTGTTAATTATTTCCTATTTATCCTGTATATGGTTTACTATGTATATATTTGTATGCTGTCTCCCTCATTAGATTGGAAGCTCGGGACAGGGACTGTCTTTTGCCTCTTTTTGTATTCCCAGAGCTTAGCACAGTACGTGGCGTACATATAGTAGGCATTTAGTAAATGTTTACTGATTAATTATTGACTGATTGTTACTCTGCCATATATGATGAAATTAGTCTGAAAAATGTGTTTTAATAAAGTTCTGATTATTATCCCAATTTCTTCAAAGTGTCTGAAAATTGATGATTATTTTCCCAAGCATTGATCAATGTTCTCATCAATGTGGAAATTAAAAATTTATAGAACTATAATTTTAGACTTAATAAAGTTCTACATAATATAATGATTCTCATCATTTTCCCCTACTACTTCCCCCATGAGTGATCAAATTCTTCAATCCAAAATCTCAAAAATGGTAGTTCCTAGATCATTGTAGGAAGAGGAAACTGAAGGCTAGAGAAGGTAAGCAATTTGCTGAGTGTCTTAACTAGCTAGTGTCAGATCCAATATATACTCTTTCCACAATATCTCACTGTACCTACAAACTTGAAAACATCTAGCTTATTTAAACTATCTTCTTTCTTTTTTCTAAATCTTCACAGAATCCCAAAGCTGGAAGGAACTTCAAAGGTCATCTAGTTCAGCCTCCTATTTCAGTCTTTTTTCCCTATTATCCAAATCTTCACATTGTTATTTGCCATACTGGGCACCACTAGGAGGTGTGGAAGGAGTTTTGGGCAAACACATAAAACTGTGAGCAAAAGCATTTAGTAGCGGGGTAAATAAGATGTATACTAGAAAGGATCGGGCTCAGACTATGGAAGGCATTAAAAGCCAGACAGCAGAATTTGTACATTATGCAAAGAGAAAATGGAAGTAATTTCTTCTGGTTCTTGAGGAGAGAAATGAAATGATCAAAATAGGTTTTAAGGAAACTTAGACTGGCAGCAGCATGGAGGTTAAATCAGGAGAGTCAAAATTTAGAGCAAATAGGCTCTTGCAATAATAGAGGGATGAAAGTCCTAGACAGAAGTAGTGGTAGCATGGGTAAAAGAGAGGAAGTAGTGAACAGCTGTGGTGACAGATCGGGCACTGGGAATTCGGAGTCTTCTAGTCTGAGTAAATGGAAAGGTAATAGCATAATTGAGAGAAATGGGTACAGTTAAGAAGGAGAATCAATTTGAGCAATGGAGTAGTTTTAATGAGCTGCTTAAATCTTTTTCGTTTCATCTGTTATTAACTTGTTATGAATAAAACATTAAGGGGAAGTGTTTTCCTTCGCCCATCCCTTGTTTTTGATTTCGTTAAATCTTGTTATGACTATGTTCAGGTATCTAGACTTTCATTTCCCCTGCTCCATAAAAGTTGTATGTAACACAAGGTGTTTAAGATTTGTCTCTTATTTTTCATTACAATGTATTACAATTACATTACTTCCTACTTATCCCTTGAAGTTAGGATGTTTTTAATAGCTTCCTTGTATCTTGTTCTTACCAGAAATATCTTCTGCCTTCACTTAAACTAACTTCAATTTTAAGTTACAACAATGTACTTGAAGAAGTTACTTCTTCAGAAGTTAGACGATATTCTAAAGAGTTGCCTCTTTCCTGACACCAAACCCTGTACCCCTAAATGTAAGAATGGAGATGATTGTTTTACTGTGTGGAGCTCTGGAGTCCTTTACAACTAATCCAAATACAAGAGCACAAATATACAAATATAATATACAATATTAATAATATACAATAATAATATACAAAACAAGGCTCAGTGAGTTTCAGTAGCCTCTCCTGGAGGTCATGTATTTTAAGCATCCAAAATATGCCTCTAAAATTTCTCTATCTGGATAGCAGATGGCTATCATGTCCTTCAGTCATTATCTTGCCCTTCTGCTTCCATTAGCTAAAAGTGAAAGAGTATAGAAGTTTCTCAAACATCTCTGAAACTAAAGTTGCATCACTTTTTTTTTTTAAATTAACTTCATAGAGTCTGCAATTTGGATCTATAAAAAGAATGTTCTTAGCACTGAATGGCTGGGAGTTCTTAACATGTAATTGAACAAAGGAAGAAAATTTCATCATTTCTTTTTCAAAATTTTGTTTTAATTGTTAAAATAGTCCAAACCAAAGGTTTCTTGCAGAGTTAGTGGTATAAAAGAGATAATCAAGATACTCTCTATTGTTTATTTTGCTTTGCTGTTCCATTGATTTTACCAAACCCCTATAAGTAATCGGGATTCAATTTTCCAGGTGTTTTTATTTTCATCGTTTCCCAAGAATTCACAACCAATCCCTTTATCATCCAATAAGGACTGAATAGCAAGGCTAAAACTGCAGATATGAAATCATTATAGAATTTGGAATTTCACTTCCATAAATGAGTTACTAGCTTGCCTTTCGGCACCGAAGTTGCCTGTGGAGACAGCATTTTCATTCCTTTTCCAAAAGTTACTGAACTTCATTTACTGGATAAGCTTCCTTTTCTCTCCTCCCTCATATTCAATTAAGCTGCTCAGTTCCACTTCAATTCTCAGAAAATTAAGCTGACTCAATTAGGGCAGATGTCAAAATAATTAATAGGCCAATAATAGATACAAGTGTTCTATTAAAAGCAATGCAGCTGTAATTAAAATGGGAGTTACAAGCCATATCAAATAATATTATATGTACGTATGTGTGGAAATAACCATAACAGACAACTGGAAAAATCTTCAACTTGGAAAACTGTGATTTCCCTACCTAGATAGTTTAATGTCAATTAATTGATTTTACCAGAAATGATCTAATTAGGAATATAATTTTTTTAAATTATGCAACGTCAAAATTGATATTTCTAATTAACACTTTGTTTAGGTACACAAAGGACAGAGAGCTCCTGTAATAAATAATGCTTTAGTTAAGCAAGTTTCTTTATGGGATAACGCAAGAGGTGAAGTACCACACATATCATTCAAGATAGAGAATTTCAAAGAAAACTGGTCTCCTTAGAATCTGCAAACCCAAAATATATTTTATAGATAAAATGCCTTTTCTTAAAAAGGAAAAAGCCTGACTTTGTACACCAACGAGTATTTTATTGAGAAATGAAATTCATATTCATGATAGCAAAAACTCTGAATTTTAATTACTTTCCTTTTTTATTTTCTAATATTTTGAAGATAAAAAGGGAATATGCATTCTCAGCTCAATATAATGCAGGTAGCTAGTTAACTGTTTTTCCCACATAAATTCTGCTGAAATATCAAACTTGGATTTTTCTAAATCTAAGCAATCTTCAACTATACAAAAAGGTAACGAACTAGAATGGTAAGGCAAACTTATGATGTACATGAATCACATCTAGGAGAAGCCCACTCAACCCCACTCACTGTGACCTGATTAGAAGCAAAATTAGAGCCTGCTAGGGCAAACGACAAATTGATAATGAATCTTTTAAGCAAGATCCCTTATATTTTAAATTCTGCAAAAATAGAGACATTCAGCTAAAAAGTAAATGGGGGGGGGCTGGAGGTGGGCAGGACAGGGGAAAAGGGCCATGTTCAAAATACACAATGGTTGACATCAGATGGCCTCATCTAAACCCCTGGGCCACGTGCTGATCATTTTGATCTTTCCAGGGCTCTGGAAAACTGAAGCTTCTACAAAGCAGCTCACGTGTTCATCAAAGTGTCTCCACCTACACGATTATTAAACATAGAAACCAGAGCCTACAAAATGGTATTTAAATTTTTTATCAGAAAGAAAGCCCTGCTCATCTGAATAAGTCAGAAACAACAGCATCAGACATAGAAAAAAGCTATATAATCCCTAACACCTACTAGCCAATTTTCATAATACACTAAAGAAACTGCCTTCCCTCAATCTAAAATATGAAAACAGCACCACTAAGTGGCACTTTCAAAAACCTGCACATGCTAAATAATAAGGATGCTGTGGGTACAAAGGTGCCCAGAGTGTTTCTCTACCATTGAAATGAAAGCTGTTCTACTCATTGAAGCTATGAAGGATGGCTTCAAAGAACTTTAGTATCTCTTGACCTCACGCTATTCTAGGAAAGGCTAAAGCAGTCAGAAATAGAGTTTGCTATCCTTCAGAATCTGATGATGGTTTTGCTTGTTTCTGGTAACTTTTATGGTTTTTTGAGAGCCAATGTTTACCTTGTTCATAGGATGACTAGCCCATCACCAAAAATGTTTATCCCCACTGGGATCAGAACCTGAAATTTCCCCATATATTTTAAATAAACAAGTAAATCATTAGGAGCAGCTAGGTGGCATAGTGGATACAGTGCCAGACCTGTTCTCAGGAAGACTCATTTTCCTGAGTTCAAATCCAGCCTCAGACATTTATTAGCTGTACTGGGCAAGTCACTGAACCCTACCCTGTTTGGTTCAGTTTCCTCATCTCTAAAATGAGCTGGGAAAAAAAATGGCAAACTACTCCACTATCTTTGCCAAGAAAAACCCCAAATGGGGTCACAAAGAGGTGGACATGACTGAAACAGGAAAGTGGCAATAATTTGTAACAAGTAAGTAATTCTGATGGTAAAAAGGGGAAGTAGGAGTTCAGAAGCCTTACAAAGTAGAGGATGATCTTCAATTACCAGAGAACATGAAGACACTGAACTTCAAATAGACAAAGAGAGGGTGAAAATGGAGTCAGAGACTTTTGAAAGGAGGTGGTAAGAGCACAAAAACAAATCTTTCTATCTCACAATTTTACCTGCTTCAACGTACCACAGCTAAGTCCTGATTAGTGTAAATAATGAATTAGAATAAAATGGTTGCAGGTATTCAAATTGCCACTACTTAAAGTTATAATTACATCAAAATGGCAGCTGGTTGCAGCCCAATGGAAATATGTCGTGCAGATTCAAATACTGCTACACTTCAGAGGATTCATTATTCATACTAACTGGAACTTGGCTGAACATCACCAGTAATTTGCATATCACATTTCCTAATCACAGTGCACAAAGGCAGAAAACAGTCTGAGAGTAGCCACTGCATTTCCAGAAGCGGTCACAGAAAACCTCACCCATCAACTGAGATCAGTCAACGGCCCCTAGTATTCCACATACAGAGTAGTCTTTTCTCCAGAAAAAGGGAAATTAAAGAGGTTCTTATGTCTCAGTTTTACAAATTAGAAAAGATCAAGATTATATTATCATTATTATTATTATTATTATTATTATCATTATTATCATATTATTTCCCCCCATGCTGCCCTATGTCCTTGGGTTTCAGTTTGGGTTTTTTGGTTATTGTTTGACATTGTTTTCTCTCTCTCTCTCTCGGCCTTATCCAAATTCAGAAAGATATACTACAAAGGGCTTGTACCAACCTTTGCAATGTACAGCAACTGCTCCTTCAGTATTTTCGCATATATTTAGGAATCGTCGAACGATGTTATCACTCGGTGTGCTGCCATCTATGAAGAAGAGGTCATAGTGCTCAAAACCAGCATCTGTGAATCGTTTTGCCTCGTAGATCTTTTTATTCAGCCTAATAATTGTAGTCACATTATTCTTTTTAAAATAAGGGAAGTAGGCTTCAGGGGCATGAAGGGGATAACCTAAAACAAGAAGTGGAAAAAAAGACATAAGGAACTCCTATGCAAATCATCTTGCAGAATGATAAAAACACTAACATCATAAATCACTAATATCATAAATGACAAATTACATAAATCACTAACATCATAAATGATAAATTATATAAATCTCAAAAAGCAACGTGAAATAGAGGATGGAAAACCAGCCCTGGAGTCTAAGACCTGGGTTCAAGTCTTGCTTCCAATCCATACTGGTTACACGAACCTGAGTAATTCACAAACAATTCTCTAAGCCTCTAACAGGTGGAAAGCAGGTACCATTCTACATGGGTGGAGAGTTTCTTTTACCAGAAGTTTCCTACGCCAATGAAATTACAAATCTGACTGATTTTCTTAAGTATATAAATCTCAAATAGCATGGGAGGCAAACACACGTTTTACGCTTAGAATGAGTAGTGAATACAGATAGTATATTTAAAGATTAGGTCCAAATGTCAACCTAAATATGCTTCTACTAAAAGAGCTTAAAGAAGTTTTTTGTTCTTTTTAAGGTGTATTTTGTTATTCACAAAAACAAAAATTTAAAAGTATCCAAATAAAGTTTGAAGTTTTAATCTGAGATTTAGAAATCCTAAGAATCACTGGGTCCTAAAACAAATGCATTCAAGGGCCAACACAATATTTAAAAAAAAAACCCTACATTCTCATGAACTTTGTGAGCTATTTCAACCATTTTAAGTGGTTTTCTGTACCAGAAAAATGATTTTCAAATATAGCAGATTTTTTTACTTAAAGTTAGTAGATACGAATACTTTACCTTTTATTACAACTCTAACTATCCAGTTATTCTACATGTACTTGGTAGGTACAATGTCTGCAAACTTCTCAAAAACTATAAAGAAAATATAATATAGTCCCTTCTAGGCAACCAACACTAAATATACTTTAATAGCTTAGCACCAGTGGATTTAAATGTTAAATCAAAATATTTGGTGATCAATAAACAAAGCATATGGTCTTCTCTTTCTGCCTCCTCATACTAGGTACCATATCTCCTACCTGTTTTCCAATATAGTCTTAATTTATCAGCTTTTGTCTATGTTAAGGCTAACTTGAAATTTTGCCCAATTTGTGCTCACTTCAGGCCCATAACTGAGACGATTTACCATCTTAAATCACTCCCTTTCTATTTTCACTAGAGTTGGGCAAACTGTTGGCCAACTTTTAATTATTTGCACTGAAAGGATAGGGGTGATGGTACCAATACAACAAAGTGTCTTTATGTTCGGCTTTGGAATGCATTATATCTTTGTTCTGGCTTTCTCACAGAGGCAGCATATGCATCTTCCGAATTACACTTTGTCTATGCCAATATTAATTAACTTTCATTCCTTGAGTATGCACGTAGTTGGCAACAGAGTAGACAGTCAGGGAGCAAGCCAAAGAAGACAGATCAGAATTTAAAATTGGATAGAGATGGTCTACAAAGCAGACAATCTAGAGACGGTTTACATCCGTCAATGCCAGGTGCAGTAATTTATGCACACATTTAGAAAAAATATACACTGCTATTTAGGAAACACCAGATTTATTTTGCCTACTTTCCCCCATTACCCAAATTATTTCTAGACAGTTAAGTTCACAGTATGCAGAAGTGAAGCCTACATACAACACAAGGTAAAGATATCAATTAGATAAGGGAAGGAAGAAATTCATAAATATCTTCAACAAAGATATCAATGTAACTGTATGGGGATCAGCCCCCATTGTAAAGCAGTTCAACAGACCAGAATTCATTATACTAAGGGCATAACCCAAGTTCTATAGGTAAGGAGATGCTAAACACATGCTAATTTAATAAATGAAGTATTGAATAGCTTTCTAACACAGAAAGCTCATCTCTCAGTTTCTAACCTTGTCCCTTATAGGATAAAACAACAAAGTTGACATACCTTCTGAATTTAATAAGTAAACATATATTCCAGTATTCTTAAGTTATACATAATGATTTAAAAGTCAGAAATGATAAATTCTTAATTCAAGAAAGTTAACTACCTGACAGCTAAGCCCACATACAGTTACAAATTTAATATTACAGAGAACACTTCAGAGGCTGTCGATTCAATTTTTAACAAATTTCCCTGATACGCCAAAAATTCCTTGATCAAAAATGAATCAGATTAATTTTTTCCATAAACAAACTTCTGTAGCACACAGAATACATATGCACCACATTTTTTGCACTGCTACTCTAATATCTAATAATATGAAAATATAGTATTTTTTATATTATGTCACAGTGAAATCATTCCTTTTTTTTTCCTTTTATTTCTTTTAAGAGGACTTCATGGAACCCTAGATAACATATTCAAAAGTCTATAAAGGAAAACTACAAAGTGTGGGATACACCTTTGAATTTTTTAAGATATGCATTGTGGAAGGCACATATGCAGTCCCATAAAACTGGCCTCTGTGCCAGAATCAAAGAAAAAAGAGTATGATAGATGGTCCATAGGTATGACTCAGTACAGCACTTCATCCCAAAGTTTCTCAACTGAACACTGAGATCCACTAAAAAAATACATATTGCATTTGGAAATTCCAGGATCAGATAAGCTCAACATTGCTACCAGGTATTTTCCATGAGGAATATAAAAAGTGGGTGTGTCTTTATGTACTTATACAATCTCCAATAAAGACTTATTCCAGTGTCTCTTGATGACTATCCAAACAGACCATAAGGACACACTGCAGGATACTGTCTATTCCAATATTAATTAACTTTCATTTCCTGAATACATGCTTGGTCCTATGCAGTGGTGAAGGCTATGCAAACTGGCCCAGAATCCATCTGTATCACTCAAGGACCAGCCTAGCTAGGTTCACAGTGGTCTTTACCAGATTGACCACAGGTTGAATTTTTGAACCATAGCAACTCTTACAGAACATCTCTGTGCTGGTGGAAAGTGTGCCCACAACAACGAAATCACAAGTAGCTGAAATGTTAAAGCAAATATATAAAGTAACAATGCTTTTGGATGGTGGGGCAAGGACTGAGAAAGAAGATGCCTTCCTTTTCAAACTTTAAATCTACACCTGCCCTATTCAATCCAAAGTAAGTCAAAGCCTCCACACTGACCTCCACACTTTCAGACTGGTTCTCTTAGGAAGTTCTGTACTCAATTAAATCAAATTCTAATAATGAGAAGCAACATGATACAGTGAAGTGAGAATGGATGGATGTGGAGTCAGGAAAGACCAGGATCTAAAGCCCACATTTGTTCTTACTAGTTGTGGTCTGACCTCATTTGTAAAAATGGGGACAATAATACCTTTAGTATTTCTCTCACAGAGTCTCGCAAGGATCAAATATGATAATGTATGTAAAAACCACTCTGCAAACCTTAAAGTGATATAACCTAAAGTAGATGATATATAAAAATCAGCTACTACTGCTATTATTATTACTCTTTAGGTCTGGCCACTATTTCATTTTGTCTTTGTGTTTCCAGTAATTAGCACAATATCGAGCATTTATTAGGAGCCTGTTGACTGAATTAACTAACCAAGTTTTGAATCCATCTAACCACACTGTTATGCAACAACCACAAAAAAATGATAATGATAATAATAATAATAATAATAGCATTTATATTATAGGACTTTAAGATTTGCAAAATATATTACAAATATTATCTCATTCATCATCACAACTCCTCTATGAGGTAAGTGCTTACTATTAAACCTATTTTTAAGATGAGGAAAATGAGGCAGTCAGAGGTTAAGTGACTCTCATAACCACTAAGTACCTAAGACTGGATTTGAACTCAGGTGTTCTTGATTCCAGGTCCAGTGTTCTATACACTACATCACCTAGCTGCCAACGTCACTTCTTCTTGTCCACAAAAAAAATAACATGGGAGACTTTGAAATCTATAAGTATTTTTTCTCTATAGAATTTCCTTGATCTGCCAGTCGAATTATATTTTTAAAAAAGAAAAGAAAAGCAAAAGGTTAGCCTATCAAAATCCTATGCCAGACTGACTTTCAGCGCTTACCTCTCCTTTCTAAATGTTCACAATCTACCCCTTTGAAAATATCACCTAAATTTTAGCTAGTACTGAAGTCAGGTTCATTGTGGTCTATAGTTTGAAGATTCTTTTTTCTACCCTTCAGAAAAAAGAATGGGGACAACGTTTCCCTTTATCCAGGCCTATGAAGCTTCTTTCAACTTCCATGATCACCACCAGCAGTTCAGCAGTCATTTCTTCCGGTTATTTTAGTACCCTAGGAACTTAATCAAATCAGTCTTGACATTCAATATAAATAAAACCAGAAGACAAAATATATTTGCAGCTAAATGGAAGGAAGACTCACAGGTTCTCCTTGCAGAGGCAAATTAAGGAGTTGGCAGAGTTGGTTTTATCGTGCATCCAAAGGCAACAAGAAACATCATTTCATGGAACGTTTGGTCATCTCTTATTTGCAGTGCTCGTGAAAAGTATTTGCAAAAAGACCACCATGAAAATGACTGCAGCTTATGTATCAACATCTGTTACAGAGGATGAAGACGTAGAGAAAGTCTATGAAGAACTCAATAAGACCCCTCAAATTATATCAATATATATACTGATACTCAGTGACTTCAATGCAAAGATGGAATAGGTGAGGTCAGCAAAAAGTGTTGAAAACTAGGATTCATTAGTAGGAACTGTGAGGTCAAAATTGGTAGACCCAGAAGCTTCACACCTATACATTATGTATATTTTCTTCAAGAAAAATATCAGCACTAAACACAGTGATTCAAATTCTTTATGACAAATAGCATGCTATCGGGCAGCTAGGTGGCACAATGGATAAAGCACCGGCCCTGGAGTCAGGAGGACCTGAGTTCAAATCTGGCCTCAGACACGGAACACTTGCTAGCTGTGTGACTCTGGGCAAGTTACTTAACCTCAACTGCCTTACCAAAAACAACCAAACAAATAGCATGCCACACAAAAATAAAACTGATTATATTT